TGGCAATGCGTTTCTTTTAAATATCATCAAATAGTATCTCTACAGACCTTACTGCATTGATATGATTTATTGAATGAGAGGGCTTGGCTCATCAGTAGTGAACCCTCTCAGCGGTTTCGCCAAATTAATGTGGAAATGCTGTGGACTCACTGTCGAATTGTGTGATTGGGTGGATATGGGGTTGGATTGGTGATTGGCGCAGTCTTGGTCGGATGATAAGGGTTTTCCACAGGGGAAAAACGAACACACCTGGATGGGGTAGAAAAGGACCTTTGCGATTGGGAGAGGAATGAGATTGGAGGAGGTAGCTGGCCTTTCACATGGTGGAGCGTACACTACCTTGGTTGGAGCCTATGTTGAGCACACCTAGCTCGTAGCACGGTCACCTACCTTCTTTTTGTTTCTTGTCCGAGATAATCGTCATCGACTCTCTCGACTTCTCATTGGTTGAGATCCTTCCACGTGCTCTCTGGTGATTCGCTATCAATTTGTCATGCTTAAAGGTGATTGGTTGTTAATTTGTCATGCTTAAAGGTGATTGGCTCAGTACATCCATTGTCGCCATTATTGCAATCCTCCAGGAAGAAGAAGGCCTTTGGACTTAAGTCTTATGGGGGGTCCAGGGCAGTGACCTTTACTTTCTGAATGATGGAATCTTGTACTTTGTTTCTTTCCCATCTCGCGAGGCCTAACTTTTATTAAACCTTTAGACGATACATTATACATAGATTGTGGTGGGGTTACATAATCCTATATACAGATTAACACATATAAATATATATATATGAAATATAAATAATAAAGTTTATCTAATAAAAAATAAAATCTTAAATATAACTTAAATTAAGTTGATATTATAGAGTAAGCTCACATGGATTTATATATTAACAAAACTATATTTAAAACTTGTAATTTATTTTTCAAAAAGGTTACAAGTTTTTCTCTAAAAAGTGTAGTGAGTGGTCAGTCTATTTACATATTTTTATTTACAACTTCAATAAATGACAACAGTAAAAGTAAACAAAGATATTTACATTTGCTATCTTGACTCCTGGTCAGTGCTGTGGCCCTTGCCGTTATGGTCCCCTGATGTCCTGCAGCTCTCCAGCAGTCTTTCTATGACCTCTCCTAGTGGCTCCTCGATAAGATGGTCCCCTGGCCTTGATCCATTCTTGTCTGTCAGGTCTCCTGTCATCTGCTCTAGGTCGCTCTCCTGGATCTCTTCTATGGTCGTCGTATCCCTGTGCTCCATGTCCGGTGTTCCACCTTCCTCGTCATCACATGCCAGCTCCCTACATCGTTCCAACAATCTATCCATGGCTTCCATTTCTTTATTTCTCTGTAACTTATCGTAAGGTTCATTCTTATTTTCTGTTGAGATAATTTCCATCGTCCTTTTTAGAACCAGGGATTGAATATATGCAAAGTCCCTTTTTCTTATGTTTATTTCCTTCCTGTATTGTAAAACTTGTAATAATAGTAATATTTTATATATAAATAGGGAATTGTATTAGATTAGCAAGATAAATCTTAATTAAACATAGGATATAAAAGTTAATACTTTTTTTGTGTTTAAGTTAAATGATTAAATAGTTGTTTATATGTATTATATTTTTATCTTATTAAGGAGAGGAAAAGGTAAAAAAATTAATTATATTGGTTAGAATTAGGTTTATATTGATGTTTTTATTTTAAATAGAAAAAAATAATAATAAAAAATAAAAAGAAAATTTAACAAAAAAAAATGTAACAACGTAACGTCTTTTATAATAGGCTTTTACCCTTCATTTAGACATACTCTGATAGATATATAGGAATAAAGGAAGATATTTATGATGATTATATATTTATTTTTTAGTAAAAGAGAGGAAAGAGATAAAGAAAGAACCATACACTTTTATTTCAAGCAAGGTAGAAGAATAGTCTAAGTCTACACATTTTCAGACTTTTGTGTGGCCTGGAAGTATATTACTAAAATTGATCACAAAAATTGAAATTAGATATAGAAATTAAAAGTAGTTTTTTCACTTCCTATCACCTAGGGACTTCAGTCGTTTGGGCGCGCAGCTCGAAATTAATTGGTAAAATTAAAAATGAGAAAGTTGAGACACAAAGTTTCTGATTAATTTAGTTTGTATAAAGTCATAATACCTTTGATTAAAAAATATATATTCCTAACACTTCATACCTTGGAGCAATATAAGCCGAATGTTCAATTCAAGATATCGATAAACATCACATAATTACCATGCAGAGAATGTACCCACGGTAAGGTTTCAGGAGATGCCTCTTTCCTCAAGTATATAATGTGTATTGACAAGGCGTTGCGTTATCGCTAGAGGATTTAAACGGCTTGTCACAGAATAGAAAGGTGAAAAGTGGATCAAAATATTTCGTAAGTTCCTTTGTCCCTCCTCGCTCACCTTTGTGGCCGTGTTCGATATGGCCTAGCAATCGTATTCCTCTTTCTAGCAAGACATTCTGGAAGATGGCTGCACCACTAGTACACTTCATTGCGAAATTAACCAAAGCAAAAATTTGCGAAGAGAAAAAGAAGTTAGAGTTGACTATAAGTCACATTCATTCACCAATCGAAAACTTTCGATATTTTAAAATAAATATATTTGTAGATCTAAAAAAACACATTTAACTTCTTATTAATTAATTCAAATATACGCATTTCGAAACCTACCGTCATATACGAGAAGAACAACTAATAAAAAAGACCAAATTTTCTATAGTTTCCAAATCAATTTTGCAAAAGCAATTAAAAAATTTTGGACTCTAAAAATGATTGTTTGACTCATTAAATACATCAGATCAAGAGGACGTGCTACATTTTTGTACCAGCTGAAGAGAGACACCAAGATAACCAATCCTTACCACTAGTTAAAACTATGGCTTAGAAAGAGAGACAAATAACATCTACGAAAAAACGTAGATCGCGTGCTTCGCCGCTGAGGAGATGGTGATGGCATGGTCCTCGAGATCCACCGCGAAGATCCAGGACTGAAGGTCCGGGGGCCGCCCGATGATGGAGAACGCCTCTCGGATGAGAGGGCGGACGGCGCTACAGGACCAGTAGCGGTGGACCAGCGACAGGTCGCTGGAGCCGCAAGCGATGCAGACAGGCTGGCTTGACGCCGGGTGCCCCGGATGAGGCAGTGCGTGCAGGGCCAGCCGCAGAGTGATGTCCGCTGCATGGCCCTCGAAAGAGCAGCGACGGAGAGATGAAAACGCCAGGCTGGGAGGGCACGTCGACGACAGGCGCCCAGCGCCGGAGATACCGCAAGATGGGAACGGCGGCCAGGCGGGGACGCTCCAACATGCGACGCGCAGTGCGTGTGCTGATGCGCAAGAACGGCGTAGCCGTCCCGCTCAGCACCACGGCTTCCTCCAGACTCCTCTCTTGATGCGAGCTCTCCGCGTTTTCCGCCACCAGATGCCGGCAGAAAGGAACAAGGGCGGCTGCATCGTCGCAGGTGTTCCTCGTCACTCTGGTGGTGAGCGACGGAGCAGGGCACGTCAGGTCGCGGACGCGTACTCCACTCCACCTTGAGTGAGCCCGAAGCGATGGCGTCGCAAGGAACCTGCAGGCACCGACGAGAGGTAGGTTCAGAAGGGTGGGAGTGGGCACCACGCGGTGATTCAGGCCCAGGATGGGGGAGGCCTGTTCCCACAACTCCAGTAGAAGGCGACGACGTGGCGGTAGCCAAGCCCCCGAAGACATTGAAGCCATCCAGACTCCACTCTCCACCAGCCATGAGTAGGTGTTTCGGCCTCCAACCCTGTGTGCGGTCTGGACCCCCTTGAAGCAGGCAAGCTGAAGCTGAGTCTTGATGTCCAGTAATCCAACTTCACCGACGGACACGGGACAAGCCAGAACAGTATCCGGAAGCCAGAGAGAGAGAGAGAGGGAGGAGTCTGATTGAGCAGGCACCTCAGTCTTAGTAGTAATTCACCTAAATTAATAGTCGTTCAAACTTAAATATAATTAAACTTTAATTTTACTTCTTAAGAGAAGGGCGTGAATATAAGAATTTTTAGGAGTTTACAATTACAATTATTTTATTTCCAAAGCGCTATATCCCGCAAGGGATACTTGCGCCAAACAAGGAGAAAAGTTTATTTACATAAGTTATTTACATTCTTCAACACATGAAAACACTAGAGATCCAGATTTTGTAGAAAGTTTAGAATGTATTTACAAAATGTGAATTAAACTTTAAATATGATTTTTTTTTATCGGAAATCAAATCGTTAAGTTCACAAACAACTAGTTCATTCTGTAATCTTGAAATGCTGGGCATTCGATCAGTAGATGTCTTGAGGTTTAGGAGTTTGGCGACTTGAAATGTTGAGAAGTGATCATCAGGTCCCTATTTTGCTGAAGTCCACAAATTCCCGCCTGATGCGTTTCTTAATTCTTTGTGTTTCCATTGCTCTAGGGTAACGGGGAATATTTCCTTACAAACTCTTCGAATATTCAGGAAATTGAGTACATGTCTTCTCTTAAACCTTTCATTTATTTCCTAACAAATATCGACAAAAAAGTTCCTATGTGTGAATGTGTGAAAAATTCCTATGCTTAATGATCCGCCTAGAATAGAATTTATTTTATCATTTTCTCCTTTTGGCTATACATTCCAAATAGCCTTTTCCACTATATATATATATATATGATTTTAGAAATATAAATTTCTCTAACGCTCAGTACTTGTATGATAATAAAAAGGTTAGCAGTGAAAAAATGCAGAGTTTTTTTTTTAAGTTCTGATTGTGAATTTCATTTTTAAAGTTAGCAATTTCGATTTTAAAGATTCTAAATTTTCAGTTTCGCAAATAACAACAACAAAAAGAATGTATCGTTAGGAGTTATAGGATGAAATATTAATATATACAGTTATCAGAGTCATCAAGCAACAATTCTTAATAATCAATTCTGTCACCGTTTGCTTTTGTGAATGGAATAAATACCCAAATATGGCCATTTCTTATAACCATCGGTGGTTCAGGGGTAGAATGCTCGCCTGCCACGCGGGCGGCCAGGGTTCGATTCCCGGCCGATGCATTTTTTTTTTTTTTACAATTTTTAAAACTTATTTATATATTATATACAAGAATGACATCGCCCGGGTTTTATCCGAGTGAAAGTTTGCCTAACGAATATTATTGATAATAATATTCGGGAACACACAGAATATTATGATAATAATGATAATATTATTTGTTACGTCATATATTTATATAATACTATAAATTTGTATATTTGTTAGGCGAAATTAGAAACATGATAAAACAATTGGGTATTTAAAAACAAATGTAGAAATAAAAGTTGAAATATAATAAACAATGTTAAAGATTAGTTAATTATTAATTAAGATTATGTGTGAATATGTGAGAAAGATGTAATATCGTTGTTGTTTTTTAGATTGAGATTATTAGCTAGTATGTAAAAAAATTAACTCTGTTGAATTTTATTTTTGTATTCATATATAAATAAAATTAACTCTGTTGATTTTTTGTATTTAATCGATAACAGCGAAGTTACGCATGTTAATGTTAGGAAAAATATTTTGATGTTAAGCAAAACCTGCTCCATCTCGTTTTACATAAATGTTGAAAATTTGGTCGAAATTGATGCATTGTAACGAAAGTTTTTAGCGAACAACACTTATGAAATTTGCATTTTATTAATATAGATACAAGAATGACATCCACGGCGCCAATTTATAATTGTAACGAATAGTATTTGAATAAAAGCATTTAATCGGGTAAAACCCGGGCGTTGCCCAGGTCATTCGGCTAGTAACATCTAACCGAATCTACAAACTCATAATAACATCCACCAGCATACAAATTTTGACAATTCATACATACAACCATGGTAGTAGCACATAATCTTGTCACCATACTGAAGAGATTATATAAACCTTTAGGACACGGTTATCGACTTGATAAAAAACCTTGGAAGCGCCCATTTTACCAAACCCCTCCCTCCCTTCCCCATATCACGGTGTCTATACTAAGCTCTTTCTTCTTTATATTCTGAATATTTCATTTGTAGGATAATCTTGCGAAATTGAATTATATATTGCCTTAGGAATTTTACAAATGTAATAAAGTTGGAGTTACGTGATTCTTCAAGATTTGAAAATGTGGTAATCCTCCGTGAAGGTGAAGATGGGATCTGTAAACTTTAGCGCGAGGGGTATCTGTGAATAAGAACTGTAGTAATACTTGGATGATTTTATGGCCAACTGTAGAGAATATTTGTAGATAAGTGGTATAGTAACACTTAGCGTATTATAGAGTTGAGTGACAAAGACAACTAGTTAATAAATAGATAGTTGGAATCCTCTGATGAGTATAAGTAAAAGATTTGAAGCGTACGAGGAAAAGTATCCTCGTACGCTTCAAATCTTTTACTTACAACTAGTTAATGGAGCGTCATATTACTGACCGTCAAAAACATTTAAAGATGATCAATTCAATAGTTTTTATGGAGTATATATTCATACTAGCCGAATGACCCGGTCAACGCCCGGGTTTTACCCGATTAAATGTTTTTATTCAAATACTATTCGTTACAATTATAAATTGGCGCCGTGGATGTCACTCTTGTGAAACGTCCCGCTCCAAACTTTGTGTCTGAGAAGCGATATTTTTTATAGAAAGATGATCTGGCTTTTGTTTTCTGCTCGAATGAATGTTTTTCTGTTAGAATTTTGTTCCTGCGTACAAAATAATGAACTGGTTTCACCCGTGGTCTCTGCTTTTTGGAATTTTTCCCGATATAATTTTGTATCTGATAATCAAACATGATACAGCAATATCGTCATCATCATTTTCTGACTAAAAATATATAGTTTTAATAATTGATTTATATATTTTTTAAAACAGCCTATCGTCTTCCCCGTATTTTTTTTACCTATGTATGGAAATTTTGGTTTGAATTAGTGAACTACTGCGAATTTGTATACCGGACATACAAACATTCATTTTTATATATATATATATAGTTTTAAGAAAATCAAATTACCGAGCTCTTTATGATTTGACACTTATTGTATGAAAACCGCTGGAGTTCTTTGAGTATGTAATGCTGGGGCTGAATTGTATTAATAGCTCTTGTACTTAAATTTGAAATTTGGTATGGTAAGAAAAATATCACACGCAACAAATTTAAAAGAGATAACAAGATGTGAGAATTAAGAAATATATCTTCAAAACCTAAATATATTTTCAAAAGTTCCGTGAATATTTTTACAGTAAATCGTGAAATAAGAAGCTTTCCCAGTTCAGAAGCAGGTTTATGAAGAAACAACAATTCAAGTGGTGGACACTATCCCTAAATTTGGTAAATCTTCTCTTAAAGAAAACATAACTCACCTGATTTACGCCCGGTTGTAGAGCCAATCCAAACTGGCCAACACTTGGATCTAAGATAGTAGTGTGATTTGTTATAACTGAAGTTTTTTAATTACTGCGTCGATTACAGTAACAATCGGAACCCCGATCAATTTTGTTGTTGTTGTGGGCAGTTTTCAAAATTATTATTCTGAAATAAGAATTGTTTTAAAGGCCCCTACTTGCACAAGACCGGCACACCAATGATGTGCTTGGCATCTTGTAAGTGAAAACTAGTACATCTTTCTCTACATGGGAAGATATATGGTGCCGTACAGTAAAAAAGTGAACGTTATCCCCCCACCATGATTATCATAACCTGTACCACGTATGCTTTCTATATTTAAAAAAAAAGGAGAGGATTAATTTAAAATGTTTACTTAGTGAGGTAGAATGGTGGCCGCAACCTCCAAAATTAAAAAGAAGAGAGAAAAAAAAAACCCTGAAAATATTCATTTGGCAGCTAATTGTTCGTAAGAATTTTTATATACACCAGCCTTAGTGTGCCACGGCAAAGAAATTTGAATATATTTAAGCCAAAATACTGAGATAGAAATACTAGAGTCAATTTTGAAGAATCTATCCCTAATTTATGTACGGAGGGAACTGAGAGCAGAGGATCCCTCAAGATCAGGCTCCGAGTCCCTCAAACCTCGAGGTTAACCCTGAATTACATGGCCTGCAAACAAACGGGAATTTCTGTTATTTCTATGATCCCTACAGAATCACAATATATAACGATCTTTGAAACGATTCTTGAACTATTAAAACAAAATCAAAGAGATCGGCTACATTAGAAGGTCTCTGGAAAGGTTGCTTGAAAGTTTAGGAAGACATTGATGAAAAATTTAATTCCATGGAAATATCAATGTCGTTTTTATTGTTCAATTTTAAGGAATCTAATTGTGAATCTCAAAGGGAATAAAATAATTTTAAATGTTTTTATGGCCTTTCAAATTTATTATTTTAAAAATGAATCTCTCTCTCACCCTCTGAATAAATTTAACTTCTAAAAATAAAATATTTGTTTATATTGCGGCATTTACTTTTATATATGATCTGAAGCTCCCCTCTATTTCAAGAAGTTAAGAAAACACAACATTAAAAGGGTAGAAGAGCTCGTGACTCGTGGCTCGTGGAGACCGCGCCACGGGCAGAGAGAGAATAAACATATCTTCCTTGGAAGTCATTTAAAACTCCACAACAATTAGACCGGCCATGGTTACATTCAGGCAGACCTTGCAACGGTATCGAAAGAAGACCCAACTTGCCCCCACTGCCAAGATGAAGACCAAACCGTAGACCACCTCCTCTTCACTTGCCCAACCTTCCAATACCAAAGATTCCAGACAGCCACTCTCCTAGGTATCACCAACATATGTCCAGATCCCTAGAAAATCTCCCAAGAAAGAAATCTGCCTGGCGACATCTCATTAATTGGACTTCCACTGGCATTGTATATAAATCCAAGAAGACTTAGGTCAGAAGGACATCCCGGGTAGTTGGCGACTTCTGTACGCTCCAGGAACCTGGGTGTGTGTTACTTAAATAAATAATAAATAATCATTTAAAACTCAACGTCTAAGTTTATTTTTGGAAAGTTAAGTTTCTTGAAACTTTACAAGGCGAGTTTTTCAGTGTTATTTTCTGCGCGACAATATATAAAACGAATAAGAAAACGGCGGTAAAAGCTGAAGCAGCTCTGGGCGCGAATGGTACATATTGATTGTCTATTGAAAACGATGGTGTATATTATAGTGATTATATGACCCACCGTTTACTCTAAGTATATTTCACACCACCGCCGGGATTGTCTGAATTGTCATAGAAGATGGTCTAGATTTGGATTAGCCACTTTATCATATTGGCAAATGTCACTCTTACGGGTTATCACACAAAAAGCAATAACTTGGGCCTACAGTAAGGGTAACTTAAACACAGAAAAAGGTACATTCAAGAGTACAACACCAACAACAAGAAGGAGGTAAAAAAAAAAAAAAAACACGATTTGTTAAATAAAATAAAAACAGTACTTATCTTTTATTTGCAGCGTTGATAAGGAGCGGACCGGGGTTTCACAGGTATGCGAGGAGAAACACCAGACAAGCACACAGAGAACGCTTTAAGCGTCTCAACTCGAACACCACTCCACGAGACTTCGCCTTCCGTTTCAACCCTCTTTTATGTACAAACATGGCCACATTCGTCCAATGAAAAGGCGTGGGAGATCAGTTCACCCTTAACAAATAAACAACATACTTTCCGCATAACTGAGATTAAAACTGCTATGTTTGTCAAATAATTTGACAATATGACCAATTCTTCGGCAGATTGTGAAGATTTCATTTGATCCCTTGTGGATCTCATGGAATAAAGTCCGCACTAGACTGACGAGGGCCATTAGCCTGAAACCATTGTCCCCAAGGTGGGCGCTTCTCAGTTTGCCAAAGCTGGTGTCGTGGCTTTGTCACCGACCTGACTCCGCTAGTTTTCGGAGACGGTCAATAGATGACGCTCAGTTTTAGCGCCTATTTTGACGGGAGAGACGACCTTTATTTTTATAGATCAATTTCCTTCCGGCAAAAAAAAAAAAAAAAAATCCATCCATATATAGCTAAATATATTTTACCATCGCCGGGATTGTCTGAATTGAGATATAAG